AAGCTTTGAAGGGACACAAAACCTTATTAATAATGGATGATGTCTGGAACCACAATATATGGGAAGGTGTGCTTAGAACTCCCTTTGTCAATGCCATGCTAGCTCAAGGTAGCCGTGTGCTGGTTACCACAAGGCATGACATAGTGGCACGTCAGATGAAGGCTGAGGAGCCCTATCATCGTATTGACAAACTTGGGATTGAAGATGCATGGTTGCTGCTCAAGAAGCAGGTACAAGTTAATCCATACATTTATTACTTTTCTTTAATATGCATTTTGTTTTCTAGCAAAACACTTTAGTTTTTCTTCTGTCTTAGAAGTGGGAACTAGATTCCCTGTCCTGGCAACTTCTATTTTTCTTCTTTGTTTCAAACATCTAGTTCTACGGTGGTGACCTTCGAAATATATTATAAAGAAACAAAATGCCATACTTCCATATGTTAGTATTGTAATATCCTGCATATGCAGTCATGCAGACTCCACATAGGGCAGGTATTAACAATTTTTTGTTAAAGCAATTAAAATTTGGACATTGTATTACACTTCCTCCTTTTTTAAAAGAACTTGAGATATGTAGGTTCTATTGGATCTGTCATGGGCTGTAACGTAGGCAATACCACATGGCGAATTAGCAACTAAATTTAATTCGCTACTGACATGTGGGGCCCATTTGGCAGTTTCTATTCTTTCTTTTTCTTCCTTCTCTCCTTCTCTCTCTTTCCCCAACCGTAGCCGCCCAAAGGGCTCGCAGCGCGATGCCCTATGACTCCTCCTGGTCAGATCGGCACCCACGCCCCACGCCTCCTATTTCATGCGGCCCACCGAGCTCGCACGCAGTGGCTCTTTGGAGGTTGCACGGCGGCGGCCTCCCAAGCTCCCGCGCGGAGGCTCCTCCTATCTCGCGCACGGTGGCGGCCCCTCGAGGTCACGCGTGGCAGTGGCCCCCCGAGCTTGCGCAACGGTGGCCCCCGGCGCTCCTCTTCTTGGTCGACCGCCCCTACGTGCACCTTTTGTCCTTTTCTTCCTCGCCAGCAAGTGGGCTCATCCCACCTTGGGCGACCCCCGTCCGTCAAATATCTGGGGACTGGGCAACCCGCATCTCACGGGAATATTCCCATGTGGGATGTCCTCGCCCCTTGTGGCCTCCCAAACAAACACCACTCATCCTGGAGCCATCTCGTCCGGTCCCTGCTTGTCCTTGCATCCAAACACACAGATAATGTTCCACCATGCCAGGTTGAGGAATGGAAAAGGTCTAGGTCTGTTTGGATGTGGATGACATCATGTTACATATTCTAAGGCTAGAAATAATATTGTGATGAGTAAACTCCATGGTTGGTCCTCCAACTTGTGAGTTGTGTCATCCTGGTCGCCAAACATAAAAAGTATGTCATTCAGGTCTTTAAACTTTGTTTGGGCCTCATATTTGTACAAACGGGTATGGATTCAGGCCCGCTTGCAGAGAAAAGACTCGCTTGCTTGAAAATAAAATATTAGCGAGGGTTATATACAAAATCACCCAGATACATAAATTGCACAAATATTAACAAATTTCATGAGGGACTATTTTTTTAAAAATATCTTCTTCCACATTAGAAATGCTACATGAGTTCATCTCGTTGTCAATGCCACCACTGTTGCCGGGGAGCACGAGAGCGTGAGCCATGGCCGCGGCTGCACAAGCGAGCCGCCGCCACCGCTGCACAAGCACGAATGTGAGCAACCGTCATGGCCGCGTAGCCGCCGTGGCTGCGCAGCTGTACAGAACTGGGGTACTTAAATAGTTTAAGGATCTAAATGTGCAATTTTATATTTGGTGATATGATAGAAGATGTAGTAGTTTAGGGGCCATGGGTGTAATTTACTCTATAAAAATATATTATTCTCCACTATACCAATTATCATATGACTGGAGGTATACGTGAGAAGGCATCGCATATGAAATTGTCTACAACAGCATTTTTAATATTGATTTTTCAACATGAACCGGGTGGAAGCGTGCTATAGCAAAGACCCACAGATACCAACGCAAAACTCTTTGTACTAAACTGGATGTGCCTATTGGGTGAAATTTAATGAAGAGTGGGCCCAGAAACTACGAATAGAACTAGTACCACTTAGAATATTAATTATTTTGGAACACAATTTGAAACTAATCCAACCACCTTTGTTGGGAGGAGACTATTACTGCTTTCAACTGTTTATTTGTATAGTCATGCACTGGGAGATTACATGCTGTCACTCGTAATTGAAATAATTCTTTCTAATATTTTTGCTTGGCCATACCTTAATGCGCCCCTTGTAATGAATATTTTTCCATATTTATTGAGTTATGGTTTCTTGAGCACTGTAGCTGTATTATACTGTATTATACAGAATTTATATTGATTGGTAGTGAATCATTCGAGTGGGTTCAGAATTGATGCAGTGGCAGTTACAATGCACACAATGTTGTATTAGCTGAATAATAGTGCTGATTTTCCTAAAGATTAGGAAAGGCCGTACTTCCAAAGGTGATAGGAGCAAAGAAGTAGAAATTCATCATGAACATTGCTAGTGAATACTTTGTTGCTATTATCTCCGAAGCAACATTCGTGCCTTTTTTCTTTCTTTTTACTTAGTTGCCCATGCATAAAGTATAATATAAAAAAGGCTGACCAAAACTTATGTGCTAGAGACCGCATAGGTTTCTTTCTTGATGTGTTTTGCATTGACAGGATATCACGACACTGCATAATAAATTATTGTTTGTCTAATTAGCCTAAAATTCTTGCAGGTTGTTACAGACGTAAATGATGAGCCCCAGGTTGAAATACTAAAGGATATTGGAATGAGACTTGTTGAAAAATGTGATGGTTTACCTCTTGGGGTCAAAGTAATGGGAGGTCTCCTGCGTCAGAAAAGGATAAGACGAACCGACTGGCAAAAGGTGTTAGATGATTCTCTATGGTCAGTATCACAAATGCCTAAAGAGCTAAATTATGCAATATATCTTAGCTATGTGGATCTGGACCCTTGTTTGAAGCCTTGCTTTTTGTACTACTCCCTCCTTCCTAAGGGTGCATTGTTTTATGTTGATGACATTATTAGCATGTGGATTAGTGAAGGATTTGTTCATGGAACATCAGATGATTTAGAAGAAATAGGAAGGGAATACTATGATCAGTTAATACAGCGGAACCTTATTCAGCCAGATATGAAGTATGTTGATGAAGCGGTTTGCAACATGCATGATATTGTTCGGTCATTTGCTCATAACATGTTGGGAGATGAAGCACTCATAGCTCACAACAGTAAAATTGGTATTGACAAACTTAAATCGCAAAAGTTTTTTAGATTATCTCTCGAAAGCAAACAATCGCCACAACCTGATTTGGAGTGGTGTTCTCTCCAAACACAGACATCACTGAGAACACTAATTTTAGTTGGTAATATAAAGATTAAACCAGGTGATTCATTTGTTTCTCTTTCGAGTCTTCGAACACTACATTTGGACAGTGTAAATATTGATGCAATAGCCGAATCTTTGTATCAGCTGAAACATTTGAGGTATTTGTCAATACAAAACTGTAATACATCCAAGTTACCCGAAGACATAGGCAAGTTGAAATTCTTGCAGTACATTAGCCTTTCTGGTTGTCAGGGTTTGGCTAATCTTCCCAGTAGCATTGGAGTGCTACAAGACTTGAGGGTTCTCAAACTTGACTGGAGAAATGTAAGTGTTATACCAAGGGAATTTAGTGGCCTAACTTCTTTGAGGAAATTATATGGATTTCCAGCCCACATGGACTGTGATCACTGTAGTTTGGAGGAACTGGGGCCTCTCTGCCAGCTGACGGAACTTAGTATCAGTTTCTTGGAGAATGTAGCTTCTTCCTCTTCTGCTATACAGGCCAAACTTTGTGGAAAGAATCGCCTAAGGGTTCTCTCACTGGGTTGCACCAGTAGACTTGGAGATGATGGCCCGTTGGTAAAAAAGGATGAAGGGATCTCTGAGAAAGCCAAGAGGCAAATCGAGGAGGTTTTTGATGAGCTCTGCCCTCCGCTTGGCTTAGAAAACCTTGACATTGATGGGTATTTTGGTGAGCGGCTCCCAGGTTGGATGATGCTGACAGCAGTTACGCCGCTTGGGAGCTTGAGGATTCTAACGATGGATGACTTGGCCTGCTGCACAGAGCTTCCTAGTGGCTTGAGTCGGCTCCCCTGCTTGGAGATTCTGCACATTGCTCGTGCCCCAGCAATCAAGCGTGTTGGGCTTGAATTCCTACAACCAAGCAATCATGTAGGGGTTGCGTTTCCCAGATTGCAACACTTGCGCTTTAAGGGAATGGTGGAATGGGTGGAATGGGTGTGGGAGGAACAAGTGAAAGCCATGCCACTCTTGGAGGTGATCGTTCTCGAAATGTGCAAGTTGAGCCACATGCCTCCTGGCCTTGCCTTCCACGCAAAGGCTTTGAAGGAATTATACATATATGGTGTCAAGAACCTAAGGTCTTTGGAGAACTTCACTTCTGTTGTCCACCTCGTCGTGTTTGGTAACACTGACCTGGAGAGGATCATTAATCTACCGAAACTGCAGAAGCTCACCATCCAAGACTGCCCAAAGTTGATGGTATTGGAGGGCATGCCTTCACTACAGAGACTCAATCTGAAGGATCATGCCATGGGAACAGTCCCCAGGTATCTACAGGATGTGAACCCAAGGCATTTACTGCTAGATTGTTCCTTATCCCTGCTCACTTCCATAGCAGCAGGGAAATCAGGTCCTGAGTGGCACAAGTTCAGCCACATCCAGCAAGTCAAGGCATATGCCACAAATGAAGGGATTTCAAGGAAAAGATATGTGACCTACAGAAGAGATCCTTTCCGCTTTGAGACAAATATCAGTGTCTCTGCCATTGCCCAAGGTAAATTAACACAGCCTTCTTCCAATGTATTTTATTTTCTGGTACTCTGTTTTCTTCTTAGTTTCCTTCATTCAACTCAATTCGTCTTCTGCAGGTCGCAACCGCCGCAAGTGGCTTGCTTACTTCCAAACATGTCCCGTTGAGGATGAGCGGCCGGTAGGACGACACACGTCTGTAGAAAAACGTGTGCCCCTCTGCGTACGCTTCAGGTAAAAAATTAGTCTACACGTTGATTGCTTGCCTCTGTTTCAGTAATCGTGCATGCTTACGCCTCCCTGACACCTGATTAATCGATCGAACATGGCAAGTTGTTTACCATTTCATGCCGTGCAACGTATTTTATCAACATGTGCAGGTGCAACGCCTATCTTCACTTGAATCGCTGGTTTGATGAAGCGTGCCTGCACTGCCGTGAAGCCGACGGCATTGCTTCCCCATCAGATCAGTGGACCGAAGCAGCAGTGTATTCTGGTCATTTCTTGATCAGTGCATGTACACGGATTATTCTGACCAGAGGCATTGTTCGGTGATGGTATGGATTAGTGTGAATATATGCATTCTGGTCATTCGTTGATATTGCCCAAGGTAAATTCAATGTATTTTATTTTCTGGTACTCTGTTTTCTTCTTAGTTTCCTTCATTCAATTCAATTCGTCTTCTGCAGCTCGCAACCGCCGCAAGTGGCTTACTTACTTCCAAACATGTCCCATTGAAGACGAGTGGCTGACAGGATATGACACACGTATGCAGAAAAACTTGTGCCCCTCTGCGTACGCTTCAGGTAAAAAATTCGGCTACACGTTGATTGCTTTCCTCTGTTTCAGTAATCGTGCATGCTGACACCTCCCTGACACCTGATTAATCAATCGAACATGGCAAGTTGTTTACCATTTCATCCCGTGTAATGTATTTTATCAACATGTGTAGGTGCAACGCCTATCTTCGCTGGCTTTATGAAGCGTGCCTGCACTGCCGTGAAGCCGACGACATAGCTTCCCCACCAGATCAGTGGACCGAAGAAGCAGTGTATTCTGCATGTACACAGATTGTTCTGACCATTCCTTGATCTTCCGCCAACTGCTTGTGCAGAACAAGACTTGCTCTGTTTTTACTGTTTGTTCATTCTGCTTTCTTTAGGCTGCTGGGAGTGGGAGTGCTTTCATTCTGCTTCCTTCCGACAACTGCTGGGAGTGGAGTATATGTTGCTATATCCTGCTGAACATCTATGTTTTGTACTGAGTATTTTGGATTGGAACATGCTTGTCCTCCTTAATTTCAGCCCCATAGTGTATGCCGTAACCTTGCATATTACCTCCACGAATCTGTTGACACGGAATTTCGTCCCGTGCCGAGGACACACGAGCAAGCCGGAAGGGTCCGCTCGGATCCGCCTAGCTTCAGCGCAGGGATGGTCGATCCTGCGCACTCCTCCCTGCAATTGACAAGGAGAGAAAATTTATCAGTAATTAAGGGCGGAACGTGCCGGTGTTACCAGACAGTCCCGAATGTGCGGCTCGGAGAGCCGATATGAAAGAAGATCGACTAAATAATCGATTCCGACATATTCATAAGAATAAATCGACTAAAGCTCATGGGTTGTATAAGAAGAATCGGTTATCATTCTAGATGAGTATCATTGATTAGACAAATATTAGTCGCTGGCAAAAGGATATTAACAGTAATTAGTTCATGCTGAGCCAATGACTATGAGTAACCGAACCCCTTTTTATGAAAGAAACGGTTCATCATCATTCAACCATTTAATAGAAATAAATTTAATGAACATATTAGATCTCATCTATCGCTGTAACCAGTGGGGCATGAGGCAGAATCATGCAGGCCGTAGAAACAATAATAGACTCGACGAACCTAACTTTTTACTAATATCAGTGGGACATGAGGCAGAATCATGCAGGCCGTAATACAATAATAAGATCATGGGGCTAACATATCTTTCAACCTATCTCTACTTCAACGATCTCGTGATGCGAACTATTCGTGAAAGCGCTCGATATCGGCTAAAACAGCCGATTCAGGCATAACGCACAGTTAAGGTCATGCCTTCTCAGAAACAAATCTACTAAATAACGATACCCACTCCACGGTGCTAACAGTAGAGTGTGAGGCAGAATCACACAGGCCGTGATAATGGGCCTTGGAATGGTTTTCGCTAGCCAATAGATCTATTCAAGATTAAACATGCCTTAACCGATATTGATGTAAAACATCCGATAAAACATAACTCAATGTTTAAAGTACAGATTAGATCAGTTTTAGATTAACAAACGATGGGTTAACAAGGATATAAGGCCGATCTAGATTAATCCCAATCGGACGAAGTGATATTGTTGTAATTAAATAAATAATGGAAGCAATAAGCAATATCGGTAACTTAATGAATCTATCCGAAGGAACGCCACCCTTAGATAGAGCCGATAACTTGACCTTAATCTAGTTCGAGTAGTGGAGGTCAACCGGATTGATGCAGCCGTACTTGAACTAGACAAGAGTCGATAACTAACTCATACCAGAGTCGCAGTGGAGGTCGACCGAATCGATGTAGCCGTACGAACAGAGGTATAAGCCATGACGGTACTTACAGACAAGCAGTGGAGGTCGACCGCATCGATGCAGCCGTACTTGCTAAAGAACTCGCCGAGATCTACTCTACTCCTACTCCTAAGGGATGGCCGGAGCCAAAAAAAGTAAATAACTGGTATTTGATTGATTGTGTGTCCTTTATAATAGCCGGGGTTTGGGTATTTATACCCGGAGCCTAAAAACGAATCCTACTCGAGTATGACTCAGTACAATCTTTGGTACGAAGAAAACATTCCTATTTTAAGGTAACTTGGACTCTAATCTTTTCCCTTTTGTAGAGTCTGATATGTATCTTCTCGATGCCAATCATATCTCGTCATCATTACCTGCTGACGTCATTCGGAGAGAACCGATCCCAGTGTCGCATTCGACCCGGCAGATATCAATTCTTACTCAATCTACTCCTTGATTGGCACAATCTTGGAAGCCTGCGAGTTCCCGCGCTCTTCTCCCAAATTTTAGTCTAAACACATGCCCCCAATTTTGGGATAAAATGATTTTATCCCAAATTTCTAGTTCATTGGTTTACCATGCCGCAACTGTACTATCCCGAGATATATGCACGACTCCTAACTTTGCGGCCCGAGTTTTATATAACATCCCAACAGTATCTTTTGCAACCCACTCGGCCTGTTCGCTTTCTCCTTCTTCCTCAAGCCAACTTTAACAGCCGACGCCGTCATCGCCAAGGCCCCAAACCCTAGCAAACCATCTGTTCTAACAAGCCGTCATCCAAGCAATCCTCGCCAGATTTAAACCAATTTTTGACCGTGATGGCGACCATCGACCACGTCCCTGAGGTATGTCTCCAAGTTTCCATTCTCCAATTATCGGCCGCTACCTTGTATTTCTTTTCTTCTCAAACTTATTTCGTCCGATTTCTTAGGAAATGAGGAATAGAATCTTGATTGCATCAGCCGTTTCCCCCAATATCTATTTTCTTGGGCCTATGGGTGATCCCGATCCATCCGATTTCATTCGCCAAGAAACCAACCAAATCCCCTTCAAACAATCTGCAGTGGATTTGTCCTCTTGGAATACCAAAACTCTCTTCAGAAATTGGCCAAAGATGCCTAAGGGATGGAGAAATTGGTTCCGTAGGATGTCCGAGAAAAAGGGTGGAGATTGGGAACTTTATGATCTAAATCAATGCTTGACTCTTTCATTATCCGGGATGGAGAGGAATGACTCACTTCTGATTGCTGCATCTTATTTCTGGTCCAATGCCCTGAATGCTTTCATCCTTGGTCACGGCCCAATGATCATCACCCTGGCCGATGTTTACATGTTGACCAGCCTCAGAATAACTGGATCAATGAGGCCTTACGAGTACTTGAGTGCTGGCTCCAAGAAATTAGCCAAAATAGCAGATTGCACAGGATAGACCGGTTACATTCTGAACCACGTTGAAGATGGATCAGCTGTCAGCGAAAGGGAATACGTGGCTTTTCTGAACATGTGGTTGGAAAAATTTATTTTCTGCGGGTCATCTTGTGGTCCAACCTACAATCACAAACTCATGGCAGAGCACCTAGCATTAGGCAAGGATATCCTTCTTGGAAAATATCTGCTAGGAGCCGCTTATCATCTAATGTACCAAGTGGCTGCTCAATTACTGAAGAATGAACCAGTGCATACTGTCAGTGGCCCCTGGTGGCTAATACAACCGTGGCTTAACTTGTATATGCATAAGTTTGTGAGGCCTGATCTCAAAAGCCTGAGTTTCCCTTCTTCCAATTTTGATGAAGAATATAGAGGTGAAGAAGGAAGAACTCGGCAGTGCATGAGCTATGGTGAGGCTGCATCGGCCATAACAATTGATTTCGACATTGGCCATCTCTTCAAGAAGTTTTACAGAGGATTTGGTGTAGACTTCCTGACTTGGCTACCATATGATGATGAGAATGATGAGCTAGCCTTCCCATTCAAGTTTCGATTTGAGTTAGGTTGTTCGGACGATGTGGCGGCTGCAATCTTCAATTCTTTCGTCAAGCCTTGTGTTCTTCCAGTCGAGTTTCATCATGGCTGTGGCAAAATGGCCACAGGCTCTTTTATTCCAGGCAATCTTCCAACATATGAGTTTTTCAACCCATCCTTTGTAGCTCATCAGTTTGGTTTTGGTCAATTGCCTCCTCAGCTATTTTTCAAGGACATACTGAAGCCTCGGGAAGATATCAGTGAAGTGTTGGAAGCCGGCAGAGTTTTTCAACTAGGATCAGATCTTCCTTCCCTCTGTTTGCATGATTGGGTTAGAGTCAACGTTTCTTCTACTCCCTTCGACTCTTGGTGGCAAGAATGGCGCTCCCATCTTTTCTGTGGATCGGTCCACCCTTTGTGTATATCCCTGGATGGAAAATTTACTTCTGACGGAGAGGTAATTTGCTATTTCTCTTCAAGAAAACTGCTTGATGAATTCCTCTGTTAACCGTCCTAATCGACCTTTTCAGGATGTTGAATCCGATACTCCGAGCTTAGATAGGAAGGGGCGTCCTATAGATTACCAGCCACCGTGCCTGGTTTCGAGAATGGGATCGGCCACACCTTCACTGAAGAAATTGATGAAAACCCCTGCTGCCCCCATAATTGTGACATATCAATCTTCAAAGCGCAAGGTGGGCCAAGGGGCAACCCAGAAAACCACTACTGGGAAGAGACTCTGTAGAATGAGACCATCAGCTGCTCAGGTAAACAATTCATCTCCTTCTCAAAATGATATTCACTTGCTAACTTTGTCCCTTCACAGCTATCGAGCAATGCATCCCAACCAGTTCTGGGTGTGGAACTGCCATCCCAGGCGTTCGACTTAGCACCAACTGAACTCCCATCGGCTGTTCCACGAAGGGAGCCGATCTCAGTTGAAATAACCGATACTTCCACAACAGTAGAAAATGTGAGTTTTATCTTCGATGCTTACCGGGGTATTTTCTTT